CTGAGTTGCCCAGAGGATCATCTAAAAAGCCTAAAGAGTCAACTAAAGAATACACAAGAAGCAATCACGTCAAGTTTCAAGATGCCAAAACATGTCTTAGAAGCATAAGGGGGGATGGAACTCACCAGTTATCCAGACAGTTAAACGTATCTCAACAACTACGATTGAAGCTTATAGCTTCTGAGACACATACAACTATCCCGCGGAAGAACTGAAGAAACCCACAGTTTCTAGTTGAGACAGCTTGCACTTGTCTCGCGAAGCTATGAGGCAAGAACTATAGCTTTCGAGACACTTACAACCTGTCTTGGCAAGCTAAGGTGATACAGAGACGGTTTCTCGAGATTCGTCCACATGACACGTAGTTCCATAACTGGTCAAAAGATCGTGAGGGAAACATGGGGAGAGACATTACAAGCAGGAAATGTATGTTCAACAAGTCTACCCAAATAATGCTCATAAAATATAATTTAAAGTAGTTAGTAAAACGGCTCGAGGAGAGTCACCATTTGCCGAGATAGCTTACATGGCTCGAAAATGCCGGAAAAGCAACCCATGCTTCCGCAGACAGCTTACAACTGTTCTCGGCAAATAGGAGTTCTCGAGATGCATTTATTTTTAATTCTGATGAGCAGTTATTGTTTCTAAAGTCCTAATAAATACCCTATTGACCAATCACTGAGGAGCCGGCGGCGGCATTTGTCCGCAGCAGATTAACAGAGAAACTGGCAATTTGCGTGAATTCTAAGCCGCAAGAAAGCAGAGCAGTCTTCATCACGTGCCACAAGCCTTTCAGAGTTTCTATGATTCCCTGAGATCTAAGCTTTGACTTGTATCTAAGAAGAGGTTAGTGGTTTATCTTACATTGATGGAGATATTCACTTCCTTTTTCTTACTTCTAAACGACAGAGAAGAAGCCATTCCCAAATTATGCTTCACGATTCAATCTGGAATCTGCTGATTCCAGTTGGTCCATGGCTAACGCACCCCTGGTACAGGCCAAAGATCCCACGCAAGCCTGTGGACCAATCGAATCTCAGCACGACTTCATATTGAATCGCGAACGGTTCGGTGAATTCAGCACGAACAAGCGGGCATCCAAATCTTGACTTAAGTGACTACAATATGGCCGTCTTATTGGAACTATTGCATGTGACGAGGAATGTTTCGGGTCTAGAAATATATTTATTTGAAAAACATCATAGAAATGTGGTGCAAATCAGTGAATCACGACGGAGCTATACTCTCACATGTTAGGAGGACCTTGAAGAGATTGCACCTCGCTAGCTTTATATCTCTGCAAGAAAGACTGTAGGGATGGACACCGCTTCATTACTTAAGTGGTCCTTCACTTGTGGGCCACTTCAAAATGCTTCGATGATTAGTGCTCACAATCAAGATATAGTGCCTTGCTGAAGAGATGAATAATGCATAGCTTCCGTTGAATTCTTGAGGATGACGATGGAAGGAGATGAACCTCTCCACACTACACCATTGACCGCTGTTTGACCTAGCAGCTGCTGCAAGGCGGGACAAACCAATATATTGACAGATGTTACTCTAACAATTGCAGCTAGGTGTGTGCATGGTTGCTCGGTCCAAACGTAAAAATTATCACCGAACTGACAAAAACATTAGCGCCAGTTCCGGGTTGGTCTTTGTATTTGGTTAGTCAGTTCTGGGCAGGGTTTGAAAACTTTTTACCCGACACCCAGCCGCGCTGGCCGAACTGACCGCATCACTACATAAGCAACACACTATAATTTTATAAGCGTGTAACCCATTAGAAACCGATACCCAACTCGCGTTCA